GGGTCCTAGGAGGGATGTTGGGGGGAGGTCTCAGGAGGGGGCAGTTGGGGACAAGGAGAAGGGAGGCTTAGACAGGAGGTGGGGTCCTGGGGGGCAGTTGGGGCAGGGGTCCCGGGAGGGGGTGATCAGGGAACAGGGAGCAGGGGGGTTGGATGGGTTGGGGTTTCTGTGGGGGGCAGTCGGAGGGAGTGGATGGGGGCAGGGTGGGGCTACTCTCCCTCCCCATGGAGTATCCTATTTTTTGAATGTTAAAATATGGTATCCCTACTCACAGTGCAGCTCTCCATTCACAGCAGGCTGCAGCATGAGGTCTCAGCTTCCTCACTCCCTCCCCCTCTTTCCTGTTGGTAGTGGCCAAGGGAATGCTGGGAAATGTAGTTCTTTCCCTGCTCCAGGGCTGGCTCTATAGGCAGGGAGCTAACCAAGGAACTACAACTCCCAGGGCCCCTTGCTGGTTCTCAGCTCCCATGCTGGATCCCTGCCACCCCTACAAATGGGCTGCCCCAAGCACCTGCTTGCTTTGCTGGTGCCTAGAGCCATCCCTACTAATAATGAGTCTAGTCCTCAACTCCTTATTACAGACAAAATCCTCAAAGGGAGTTTTGCCCAACTAAGGATCTCAGAGGTGGCCAATAAGGCTTGCACTGCTGGAGCTGACATGAACTTGGCTACTCTTTGGCATTGGCACTTCGATCTTTTGGTTCTTCCTTCTTCATGCAACAGGATCAGGTAGTGTAACTGGCTGTAACATAGGGATTATTCTTCCTCCTTGGCTTTACATATGGACAAGTTGTTCATTTTAGGCAACTACAGAAAACAAGAAATGATAGCTCAAGGGAATGTGATAAAATATAGAGAGTTTCACTTCTGGATCACTACAAAGAATCTAGCCCAGGTGAATAGTAACTTACTACAAAACTTCAAAACATTTGCAACAAAAATTTGATTTTTTTCATATTTTGTTACAAACTCAAGGTGAAGTACTGCCCACCCTCAAATCAGTAGGAGTTTTGCCATTAATTTAACTGGGGCCAGGATGTGACCCTTAATTTGGGCCCATTTCACCCAAAATGCACCACATTTTGTGGATATTCTACTTTTATCCAATGAAAAGCAAACATGGGGACATTCTGAATAATGGGCAGCTTCAAAATTCAGATTCAAAATGAAAAATTTCCTATTTTCTATGCAAAAGATAGCCTATCACATGTAATGAAAACGTGAAGGGGAATTAAGTAGCCTGAAAGAAAACATTGAACAAAACAGTGAACATCTGGTTACAAAATTCAGGGAAAAAATTGCCTCCACCACAACATACTCTGGTTGTAACTGATGGATTTTACCATGAGAAAGGCTATTGTGTGTCTAAGCATAGTGTGTTTGGTGGCTTCAGTCCAGTCCCTAGTGGTCAACTGTCCACAACAGAAAATCCACCACAGTTTCGAATCTCAGCAGAGGCAGCCCTGGACAGAATGGATGTGCAGCTCCTGATTCCCAATGGCCAGCTGAGCTGCTCTCTGCTTGCAAGATTTGGGCAGGATAAAGGTGCACAAAGTCACCTTTGTAAGCCCCTGAATCCTGGGGCAGATCTGTCCCAGGCCACCTCAGGACCACTATGGGAGATGGCCAGGAACAAAACCATTTAGGGTTTTTAATGTCAAAACTAATGTTTGGTTTCACTCAGGAGCTAACTGATAGCCCCAAGTAACTATTGCTTACGAAGCAGTTGCAGAATGCTGCAGCCAACTGCAGCTTCTGAATGGTTCCCATGTAGCCCACTTGTAGAGTACAACCCAGAGGTGACAGACCCATGAATAACTGTAATCAGGTCTGCAAACCAAAACAAAGAACTTCCTTGCCAAGCACAAATAATAAACACATTCTTGGCAACCACTTCTATTTGGCAGCTGGGAATCCAACAAGCTGTGCAGGTTTCAGACCTCATCACAAGCAAATGGCAGCTGAGCTGACTTTGGACTTGGACTTCTTTATCAGTCTTTTGAATTTATAGTGAAGACCCTGTTTCATTTACACCTTCATTTATATCTATTTAAAGACATCTATTTGTGTCACCTCAGGTTCCCCTCCTCCTCACAGTACCTTTTTAGAACCTGTTGTCACAGTTCTTTTGAATTGTTTTGCAACGCTCCTGCTCTGCAGATCTATATAGGCAATATTCTGGTTACTGGTGACCATTTTCTGTGGTGAGTAATATTCTGAATAAGATTCTCATTTTAACAATATTCCTTCGTTTTGTAAAATGAAATCCAATTTTGGGTTTACATTTCCCTTTCCCTGCTACTAACCCTGAAAACATCCCTTCTGGATGATGTATGAAGTCTCCTGCTAAAACAGAGGTGGGCAAACTGCAGCCCGTGGGTCACATCTGGCCCGTGGGACCCTCCTGCCCAGCCCCTGAGCTCCTGGCCCAGGAGGCTAGCCTCAGCCCCTCCCCCACTGCTCCCCCTTCCCCGCTGGCGCAATGCTCTGGGCAGCAAAGCTGCAAGTTCCTGGGGCAGCACAGCCGCAGAGCCCGGCCTGACCAGGTGCTCTGTGCTGCGCGGTGGCGTGGCCCGGCTCCAGCCGGGCGGCACGGCTGTAGCACCGCCAGCCACCGGTGCTCCAGGCAGCGTGGTAAGGGGGCAGGGAGGGTTGGATAGAGGGCAGGGGAATTTGGGGTGGTGTTCATGGGGTGGGGGTGTGGATAGGGGTCAGGGCAGTCAGAGGGCAGGGAACAGGAGTTGAATGGGGCAGGGGTTCCGGGGGGGCAGTCTGGAAGGAGGGGGGGGTTGGATGGGGGG